GGGGGGGGGGGGGGGTAACCACCCTCTTCTCAGGTTCAATGGGGGCCCATGGGGTTAACCACCATCTTCTCAGTTTAAATGGGGTCCCACATGAGTGTTTAAGGGGGGGGGGGGTTGGTAACTCTGTGCACAGGACTACCAGAATGAATTCTGTTTTGGCCCATAGTCCTGCACTGAATTGATGTGGCTTACAGTGCAATGTTATATGGGGGTGGAAGTCCATTGATTTCAGTGGACTTGCACTGGAGTAACTCCAATGTGCTGTAAAGTTAAGTATTAAGTATTTCCAGCACTGTTCACTGCACAAAATGAAAGGAAAGCCTACCAACGCACTCACTTCAGGGTTTCTGGGAGAAAGAGAGAGGCCATTCAGTGATGTCTGGACCTAGCAGTTTGAAAGCAAGAAATTGCAAGTAGATAAATAGGTACCACTTCGGTGGGAAGGGAACAGCGTTCCGTGCGCCTTGGTGTTTAGTCATGCCGGCCACATGACCACGGAAACGTCTTCGGACAGCGCTGGCTCTTCGGCTTTGAAACGGAGATGAGCACCGCAACCCTAGAGTCGGATTCGACTGGCTTTCGAGCAAGGGAACCTTTACCTTTACCTTTATATCTTTCCCATACCATGAACTATAAACTTTCAGAGGTGAAAACAGCACCAGTTCTGCATGCTGATTGTTCTGGTCATTCCATCAGGTAGGGCAGGGCCCTACAGAGAATGCAAGTATACATATATGGCCTGGGACCAACATATCTGAGGGACCATAATGCAAGTATACCCGAAGAGCTTTACGCTCTATGGACCAACATCTCCTGGTGGTCCCTGGCCCAAAAGATGCCCATCTGGCCTCGACCAGGGCCAGGGCTTTTTCCGCCCTGGCCCCCACCTGATGGAACATGCTCCCTATTGAGATCAGGGCCCTGCGGGATCTTCTTCCATTCCACAGGGCCTGTAAGATGGAGCTTTTCCACCAGGCCTTTGGCTGAGGTAGCAGACGTCTCTGTATGGCCTCCCTGAGGTCCTTGCCACCCATTTATTAACAGCTGGCTATTATTCACCCGTTATCAACAGTTCAGGGAATATTTATAGGCTTTAGCGGGTAATCTAGAATGGTCAGACTCATGGTAACTTACTAGTGCTGTATGGCGAGAATAGTTGTTATAGTTGTTAAGATTGTATGTAATTATCCTTATTAATTTAGAATCAAAAAGTATTTGATGTATGTAACAAAAACAATAAAAGCTTGAATAAAAGCTTGTTTAAAAAAAACAGGCCAGGGAATCTCTCACTACCAGCTAATTCTATCCTTGGGCTGTGACCACCATTCTAATGTATATTACTGTGTTTTAAATTTGTCATTATATTTATAGTATTGTTGAATGTTGTTACCCGCCCTGTGCCCACTCGCAGGAAGGGTGGGCGATAGACAGACAGACAGACAGACAGACAGGTAGGTAGAGGCGGCAGTT